TGTTATTGAATGTGTATTTTTCCCCTTAGTACTTTACTCGTTTTCCCTTTGAGGTTCCTCCATCGCTCTCTCTCTCTCTCTCTCTCTGTCTGTCTGTAGGTGTGTGTGGGTGTATTGAGAGAACTATGGTGCAATTAGACGTGACAAAGCTGGGGAATGAATCAATGAGTGTGGTACTTGTTGTGTTTTATTTGCCTATTTGATGGTGTTTTTTGGTTTACAATTTGAAGGTTATGTGTTCACTCATGATGTTAATTGAACCCATGGTGAAAGTCTTTTGTTTATCTATTGGTGGCTGGCTTACAGTAATTATTCTGTATCTCGTTGTAGTTTGAAGAACCCATCTGTTTTTCGGGACAAAAACCGAGACTTATTACATGCTCTTTTATGAAGTATCAGATACTTTGTTTGAAAAGTTTATGCAGCAAATGCTTCCTTTAAACAGATGTTATGATATAGGTTCTCGTTCCCTTTGTGCAAGATAATGAATTTACATGAAACCTGATTCTACATAAGATATCATGTGATATTGAAGTTACAAGTGTGTATTCTTGTGTTATAGTTTATGAGGATAATTTCTGTTCTTTGCAAAATGCTTATACCAAACGGCATAATAATTTCTCTTACCTGTCCTATACTTAGGTGTGTTTTTTACTTTTCAGAAGAAATTACACTCTAAAATATACAACATATAATATTTCAACATCAGGATCTCACTTGGAAAGTGTGTTAAACTAGATTTATGACATTTTCTATTTCTAGCAGCAATGAGGACAGGTTCATCTTCTCTAAATCCTAATGCGGCAGCTTATGTGCCCCTCTTCAAAAGAGGGGTTTCAAGTGCAAATAGTGAGTTGAACAATGGAAGTGAGTTCGTTTGGTCAGGTCAACAGCCGAACACTTTATTGCCTCAATCTCAAACCCATGGCCTGCATGTTTCTGCTACCCAAACTGGTGAAGGTTCTAGAAGGAATACTCAACATGGTGGTGGTGAATCCTTTGCTTCAACCTCACAATATCCTAATCCGATACAGCCGAGCTTTGATGAAGAGTTTGACATGGACTTGGCTTACCTTCAGATGACTTTTCCTGGGATATCATTCGAGTCTCTTTCTGAAGTTTATTTGGCTAACAGGTGTGACCTTGACTCTGCAGTAGACATGCTACATCAACTAGAGGTAATTTCTGGATTATTCATTCATATTTTAATTGTGAATGCTGCCCTCGAGGTTTATCATGACGGATTTTAATTAAGACTACTTTGCTGTATTTATTTATTTTAGAAATTGCATGTTTGTAGAACAAGACAAACTTCACTGAGGTACTTACCTGGATATTTTCCCCCGATTTGGAGTAGCTTTTGTGATCCATTGTACGGATTACAAATTTTCTTATATGGTTGATTAGAATTTCATGAGAAGTGTTCTTTTGTTTTTTCTCTGGCAAGACGCTAGTGGTTGATCGAGCTTTTCTATACTGCATGTTGTTGGTATAACATCATCCTATGTGTCTGCTTGAATTTTTATGCACGAGATTTTCTCGAGTGCATTCGCCTTCATCTTTGTGCTACATTTAGCTTAAAACTCGCACTTTTCAGAATTGTGGTGTTTTTTTCAGAAGGGATTTTTTATGGATTACTAGAAGATTGAAATGTCATATATGCTGTCTTTTTTTTCCCCTGTAGAATATGCTCATATTTAAGTGTTGAAGAACGTAATGCTTCACGTTTTTTTGATGCATTGGAGCTTTCGCCATCAACAAGAAAAGTCAAATATTTAGGAACTGATTAGAACTCTTTGAAAGAGTAACTTGTGAGCTTTCCCCATTTGTCTCGAATTCCTTCTTCTGTTTGCAACTCTTTTCGCTTCTGTTACGACAATTCGCATGAACTTGAAGCAAAAGTTCTTTTGCAAACACGCATCTTTTATTTCTCCGCATTCCTCTTCTTTTTCCACGTTTTATTCACTTTTCTATGTTTTATTCAATGGTCTAATTTACGTGTTTTTACAGGTCTACCCTGATGACTCATCGGACAAGCTTCCGGACACTTTGGACATTGGTGACGTGTCGGAACCTGCGACAGTTGGCAAGCCATCGTCATCACAGAAAGCAAAGAATCCATTGGCTGACGAATCTCGGGCTTCGTCTTCTGCTCCATCAAGCATCTCCCCAGCAAGCTAATCGACTCGATTTTGGGATTACCAGTTTTTTTCTTAGGATGGCTTTTTAACTTCTCTTTTCCAGAATGTTTGCGCTTCTTGTTTTTAAGATGAGATCTGTGTCTATACATTTGCTTCTTGGTGTACAGGTTGAATCTGTTTTATACTCCCTCTCTCTCTGTCTCTATTGTTTGGGGTTGTTTTTGCTACAAATGGGTGAAATTTGAAGTACATTTTGCTACAATGAGAAGCACTGATTTTTTTTTTTTTTTTAATTTCAGTGAAATGTTAATCTTTCATTTATTTAGATTTTCTTTTTAATTTTGTTTTCTCTACCAAACATGCAAAGTGAAGCCTGATTGATAGTTAAGAGTATAAAGATGTCTATAACTACTAATCCTCAGTCACAAATGTTGTTAAGCTGTCTAACCGTTAGTCAAGTAGAAACGCATATTTATACGAGAAAATATCATGCTAAAGAAAAACGCATATTTATACAGTAAAATATCATGCTAAAGTATATGTTATTTTCTAAGGTATGCTGCAAACGAACCGAGCCAGTTGAGCAGCAGTCTTACCAATCAAGATTGATTCTTTTTTAACCTACTCGAGCTCGAGCTCAATTTACGACGCTCAATATCAACGCGACAAAAGAAGACAATCGCCCGAGATCGATAGAATCCAAAATGCTTGAAAGTGCTTGAGCTCGGCTCGAGTTCGACTCAAATTTTAAGTAAATCACCATTTAAGTATATAAATAAAATATTGTAATATTCATATATAAGTGGTATTTTAGTAATTCACTAAATATCTCGAGCCGCTCACGAACGGCTTGATGTTCCAAAATTAATGCTCGGGATCGACTCGATAACATGCTCGAATCGCTTGGTTGGTTTGCAGCCCTAACATTGACATTTGAATATGAAAGTATGCATATATTTGTAGTATGGAAGTCCAACCATTATGCACAGTCTAACAGACCAACCAAAATCCTCAATTGTATTTAAGTTTCACAACTCACTGAACAATGGACTGCATAATATGAATCTTTGATCTCATACACACCATCTTCAATCTTCCGTGTCGTGGAATTTAAGACGAACAATATACACAAAAAGCTACGACACGAAGAACCCATATTTCATCATAACCATAATGAGACTTGCGAACTCTCCTGGGCAACAACAAAGTCGAACACAATAAGAATTGAGCCTCTCTTTACCGTGAAGTACCAATTAAGGAAAACCGAGTCGTGCAGAGATACTTATAATAATTGCCCAGATGGAATTATATAGTGTTATTTCGCAAGTTTGCAGTTGCTTCAGTTAAAGAACTCAGAATACTCTCGCCAACTTCGGCTTTGCAAAGAGGACAAGACGCGTTGATTTTCAGCCACTTGTCGACACATTCTTTGTGGAAGAAATGTGAGCAAGGCAGCTCACGAAGTTCGTCATTATTCGCGTACTTTGTCAAGCAAATACAGCAAACCTATCAGAAAACGAAGTTTAGAACAAGGAGTACTATAAAAACCCAATATCTTCATCAAAAACTATATGTGTGACAATATCAAGGTCTTTGTAAGGTAATTACAACACTTAAAAGGGATATTTGCAATTTTGGAACTTCGCAACCAGACAAAGTTTCAGGGGCATTTCTCACAATCAACCGAATTTTAGAAGCCATTTCAGTTATCCTTAATTAAAAATAGCTAATAAAGAAGGAAACCCACACATAGAGTACTTAGCTTAAACAATTAAATAAATATATTTACTAAAATCTTGAATGCCAAGATAAATGAGAAAAAGCTTACTGCATCTTCTCCTGACACCACACGCTCTTTCTCAGTCCCGGCAGCCACTATCCCACCCTCGACTCCACCTGCCTCCTTATCATTGGAGTTTTTATTTTTCTTTACTTTAAATTTATAAGTTGGCAGGGAATTAATCGATTCCTGAGTTGCTCCTCTATTCTGAGTGAAATCTTCTCTGAAGCCAAGAACTGATATTATACACGGCAGGCAGCAGCAGATTGTGGTGCACAGAATAAATGGCATTGCATAACCGATACAGCTAATGGCAAGAAATACTATGCACAACCTATACATAAAACAAAAAAAAAAGGCATATTAATTGAGCAGCAAATAGAGGATGAATAATTGGATAAAGATTCGGCACATTTTATGTGTGTTCGAAGGTAAGTATACAATTATATATACCACCAGTATTGCCACTAACGATCAGAATACATAATATAAAAAATAATAAAAGCTGCTTTAGTTACAAAAAGAACACCAATATGAAAAAGTTTCAGTTGAAGTCTCAATTGTAATAAACCTTATCCCTCTTTCAAAATTTCACACCATTTGCAAAAAATAAAAATCTCTGGGCTGTTTGTAATGATACCTTTAGGGTGAAGAGGTAATTAAGAAAAATAGTAGGTTTTTTGGGTAATTAGAAATCCTCCATGGCAATTTAGTAATTATCCCATAAAAATTATCATGTATTTCCTAGGCAATTAGTTTGTTCGTGCATTACGTGTACAGGTTGGGGGCTTCATTGGAAGATGAGTGTCCTCCAAAAATCCATACATTGCCAACCACAAACCAGACAGCAAAGAAGCAATCCAAAGCCATCTTGAAGTACTCAAATAACACCTTAAGCCTGCAAAGAATAAGCACAGGCTATTAACTGTTTGTTAAGTTGCACCCAGAAGACTAAAAAATCCCTAAGGACTGAATAAAAAAATTCAAACACAAATAACATAACACAAATGAGGCGTAAATTCTAATCTTTACAACAATAACAGCCGTAGGTCAGATTTTAAGACTTTTTCCTTTTTGCTCCAAGTAGTTTACCAACACAAAGTGAAACTGTGATAACTCAACTTCCGTTCACCTTCCCTTAACATATTGCGACACACAAACCATTCTCTGTCTTAGATACAGTGAATCATTTCTGGACATAACAAAGCAGAATTGACATACCGCATCCAAAGAGACTGTCATTATATAGTCTTCAATTATTAACTATATTCGAAACTAACAGCATTAACTAAGGAAGCTTGAACGTGAAACTCCGAGCATTAGTATTAAAAAGACGAGTGGATATTGTCACAAAACCACTTCAAAATTCATCAGTTGCTATATCATTTCCTGTGTCATTAATCCATTTTTACTTTAACTCAACTCAAGTAGTTTGCACTTTGTATACATAGTCATCACCAGAAAAACACTAAAAATCTTTTCCAGTCATAAATCACTATCTATCCTTCCTTCACCACATCTTATAGATAGGCACGCTAATTGAAGAATAGGATAGAACGCCACGACAGAAACAGTAAACTTGAAAAGTTTCAGATATGTGAATAACTTGCACTCTACAGCCTACAGAAACTTGAAGCATTATAGACCAACATAATCTAATGCTTCATGAAGTAACTTCACAGAAATAGTATTATAAACATATAAAGAAACGCATTGCTAAAACACATGAAGCATGCAGTGTAAAACAAACATTTATGACTACCTCGAGTTCAACAATCCATTACTTTGGTTGCCCCTGATTACTGCACCATTTGCCATACGATTACCATTACCCTGTAAAGAATCCATTTGACTACCTTCCATGACTCTCCGAGTCATGGGCCCACCGTTACCATTCCCCTGTGAAGAATCCAAGCGCTGGGACCCTTCCTGTTCGGAAACCTGGTTTCGATGCTTAAAACGCCAGTATAAAAGAGGAAGAATCGCGAAACAACCAGATGCATAGCCCACGATCCATGCCCTCAGAGGGGCCTGCGGACTCTCGTGCTCGGACAGAGACAAAATCACAGCAGCCGCAACAATCTGGCTGACTGTCAAAACTAGCTCCACAGATATCCACAGAGCAGAATTCAATGGGCTTCTCTGGCGGGCCCGGCTGTTTCCTCTCCGCACAACTGACGAGTTCCTTGAAGTTGGGCCAGCAGAAAACATTGCAGGCTGATAGATGGGGTTTCTTGAGCTCGTGGAAGTCTGGTCATCACTAAATTGTTGGTGGACATCACCTGGAAGCCTCTCGTTAGCTGAAACTGAAGGTGAATGGTTGCTGCTGCTTGCAATATCGATTACGTGCTCGTTTTCATTACGGGCCTCCATTAGCAACGGGACTTTATTGGTCTGGGTTTTACGGTGAAGTCCCAGAATGGGAAATGCCATTCAAGTCGCCTATCAGGGGGCAAATCACAGAGAACATGAGATGATGGTCTAGTATTCCTGACAGTTAGGGAAGTGGATGCCTAACATTTGAATGCAGGTCACTCAGATGTCTGGAGCCAAATTATACAATCAGCCCAACCTGTTCGAAATGCACAAAACGTGCAGGAAGGTTAGAACTACTAACTCGGTTTTGCTCAAAATCTAAATAAGGGATGCCGTTGTTAAGTGGAAATACCAAACACAAGACTACTGCAAAAAGAAATTTCACAGAGGTTTATATTCCCTTTTTTTTTTTTCAATGGTAGTCCAATTATACTCTTTACATTGTGAATGAGTCAATTTTGCCACAGCTCAGCCAAAGGGCAATACATGTGATAAGAAATATTACTTCAACTAAAGCAACACAAACTATTACAGAACGCTGATTGTTGAGCGAACCGAACAAAGTATTATAATGTCAAGATATGCAGAAAACTGAACTAAATTTATTGAAGTTGAGCAGCCATCAGAACA